ACCCTCGCCTCCAAGTCCTGCAACTGAGCCTCTATCTTCGCTGCTGTTGCCATCACAGGCGGGTCAGCCGCGGCACGCATGGCCGCTGAACCACCTTCGCCACTGTGCGAACCTGCCTGTGCCTTAGGAGAACCTGGGTCCATTGCTGGCTCGCTCTCAGTGGCACTTGACCTCAACGCTTCCCTGAGCACACCAGCTGCCTCTGAAAGAACCTTCTTCAGTCCTGCATCTGCCTTAGGCTTCGCCTGAGCTTCCTTAGGGTGTGCCTTGGGAGTGCTAACCTCGGACCTGGCCTTTGGGCTCCCAGCTGGCGCTGGGCACGTGTCTTTCTTGTGGCCCTGACCTCCACACCTCATGCAACGCGAGGCCCGGTCGGCCTTAGGAATTGACGCCCAGTCATGAACAAAGCTACACTCACCCCCTTTACGACAGCCCTTTCCGTCATGAAACCATCGGCACAGGCGCTTGCCAGCATCTCCTCCTGAGCCTGTCGGGACTGAGGACTTAGGATGAGGGGCCTTTACTGGGGTGGCTGCATCGCTGGTGGCACCTTGCAACGCCTTAGCCTCGACCTGTCGCACCCTTCCGGCATCGGGCTTACCTGCACTGGTGGAGGCGGTAGCCTCGGACACTCTTGAAACTCCTTCAAGCTCTGCCAACAAGTGTTCGTAGAACTCCGAAACCTTGGTAGTGGACGGCTGAGTATCTACGTTGAGGGAAGCCCGCACCAAGTTCACCCGAAACGCCAAGTTGGGCAGGCTCTTCAGCACACTGCTGGTGATGGCTTCCAAAGCCAAAATGCACACCGCCGGATCAGGAGGCGATCCTCCTAAATCCGTGAGCCGCACCAGCCATCGGCGCCAGGTACGCAGCTTCAGAACTGCATCCACCGGCGAGTCTGCTGCCCGAGGGCTTTGCACCTGCCTCAAAGCCTCCGACCGCTCCGCAACTCCTCCTGGCTTATACACCATGTGGAGCTTGCATAGCAAACTCATCACCCCGCTGACCCTGGCCGCACTTAGTTCGGACTTCACGGTGTCGGGACACGCCTGGATGATGAGGTGTTCCATACGGTGTCTCACTCTGGTCCATCTGACATCTCTTTCTGCAGTCGACGTGGCGTACTTTGTGCGAACTCTGGCCAACGGATTCGCCGGAACATACTGGTTGTGATACCAGTCTTGCGCATCTGCCAGCAATCTCTCCCAGCACTCTCCCGAGCTGTCAGAGAGGTCTGACATAGCCGGACGAATGGCATGCACCCAGTCTGCAAATCCCAACGCACCCTCCAAAGTTGGCGACGGGAGCTTTGTAAGCTCGCTTATGCCTGGGCGAACCACCTCCGTGCCCGCAGAGTGAGTACTCGCGCCCGCTCCCTTAGTCGCGGCCAAGTCCGCCACGACTCCTTGCAATTGAACGATGCCTGACATCATCGCCTCAAATGGGCTTTGTGGAACCGCAGAAACACCCGCTGACACTAAACCTGCACTCTTGGGCGCCTGGCCTGTAGCCTGATGCGAAGCTTGGGGCACCTGACCTGTAGCATGCACGCCTTGAGGCACCTGGTCTGTAGCCTGCTGCACACCCTGAGGCACCTGGCTTGGGACTTGCGGCGAACCTTGAGGCACCTGACCTGTAGCCTGATGCACACCTTGAGGCACCTGACCTGTAGCCTGATGCACACCTTGAGGCACCTGACCTGTAGCCTGATGCACACCTTGAGGCACCTGACCTGTAGCCTGATGCACACCTTGAGGCACCTGACCTGTAGTCTGATGCACACCTTGAGGCACCTGACCTGTAGCCTGATGCACACCTTGAGGCGCCTGACCTGTAGTCTGATGCACACCTTGAGGCACCTGACCTGTGACCTGCTGCAGCGAACCTTGAGGCGCCTCACCTGTGGCTTGCGGCGGCGCTTCAGACGCCTGAAGTGACAGCGCGTGCCATCCCGGGGGCACCTGGCTTGCAACCTGAGGCATACCTGGAGGAACCTGGTCTGTGGCATGGGACGTCGAAGAAGGCCACATTGCACCTGAGACCTGGGCGGGAGTCGGAATCCCGTGGGGGACTGAAGACCCTGGTGGTCCTTGACTCACCTGTGCAACAGTGGTCACCGTGCTTGCGGTGAGAACAGGAGCCTGGCCTGCCTTTGGAGGAACCTGATGCACAAGTCCCATTAGGCCTCTACTGATCCCACCTAACCAACCTCTGACTCCTTGTTCCAGGATCACCTCTCCTCAAGAGATCATTTTCCCTTTGTAGCGCTACAATCCTACGCTCCATTTCTGCCTGTACACTCATGAACTGCTGAAGCTGACGGCGAACTTCAAGCTGAATTGCTTCTCCAGAACCCGAACTCACTGAATGAGGAAGCTCCGGCGGTGTCGACTCCGGATAGAGTAGAGGAGCCGCCTTCGCCAACGTATCCAGTCGCTGCGCTTGCTCCGGGGAGAACAAAGGGCCCTGTGGATCCACATCTGCCTGAGCCACGCTTACATCGCCAGCCTCCGAAGCCGCAGTAACATAGCCCGTCCCTATAGTTCCCATAGTTCCTTCTGTTCCCGCCGAGCCCGCTCCTGGAGTCGACGATCGCGGCGGAGCCTTGGCTCCTGCTGAAGCCTTCACTACTCCCTGAACCGCCGCCGAGACCTCCGTCAAAAGGCTTCCCACTCTCAATCCTGCTCGAACTGCCTTGGCCTTCGCTATCGCAGCTGTCCCATTCAACTGGGCACCAGGGTTTCTCATTTCAGCACCCTCATCGGCCCTGATCGGAAACTCCTGATCCCTTCCAGAACTAACATCCGCAACTTCGCCATCCAAGTTCAGAAAAGCAACACCAGACGGAGCCTGCGTAGTGGTAGCGGTGGATTGGGCTCCCATAACCTGTTGATCTTCGCGATTGGTAACCTGCCTTGTAGCTCCGTAGCCAGGTAAGTCATTCAGGTTGGGGTTTTGCTCTGCTGATGCTCCCTCCATCTTGTTCGAAAAAGTAGAACCTCTTCTTCTCTGCAACAGATCCGTATTGACCACAGAAGTATTACAGCGAGGGGGTATCCATGGGAGGCTCACACGGCAGACGCACTCCAAACTTTTCACAGCAAGACGTAGCGTGCTATCTCAGCTGAGCTACCTATGCTTCGTACAAAGGTGCAAGGCCCCACGATTGTTCATGCTCGTTGCTTGAACCTCTCGTGCCTTGTCAGTTGCACATAGAAGGTGTGCCCAGCTGTACATGCATGCTCCATACGGAAACCTGGGATTTCACAATTAGAATAGGGTTTTGGGGCCTATAAAGCTATGATGATGATAAGGAACCCCCAAAATAGTATTGGTAATTATTTAGGCCCCTACAGTACAGGTTCGAATTTGGCATGGCGTGGTTCACAAGCGAAAGGGCCTGGAGCCCAAGCGACAGATCGAAGAGCAAGAATTAAAATCAAGAAGTCTCCACCATCACCATCCAAAAAGCGTGAAGCCTCCAGCCCTGGAACCCTTTATGCAACATGCATCCATGCTCAAGCCTGACCTACCTCAGATTCTCAACCCTGAACCCTGACTCGTATACCAGATTCCTCGGTACTCTGAGGCCATGCGCTTACCAGCCCAGCGCTGTCTGAAAGAAGGAGGCAAGAGACTGAGACCTGCACATCACGGCTCGCTTTAAGCAGCAATGGTCAGCGCCCTGACTTGTACAGTGCCTTCGCTAGTAGTACCTTGGCCAGTTCCATGTTGATGATGGTGAAGACGATGACGTTTTTGACTGAGGATAATGAAGAGTTGACGAAGATTACGATGGAGCTGCTGGTGATGGTGACGGTGATTGCGATGAAGCAGCAGACGCTGGTGCTAAGAGTGCTAAGCATGTTGGCAGTTTTGCACCAGCATGTGCCGATACTTCGCTTAGCTCTTCTTGTCCACACCATGCTTATTGCTTACTTATTACTTCGCACTTGGTTGCTGGGTGGGAACCAGCTGGCAGTCCACACCATCCTCCAATGCCTGGCCTGGCAGGTGAAAAGCCTCCTTTCGAAAAAACCGTTGGACACTTCTCCCGAGCGTCACACCGAAGTCGTCCATGAGTACGATGAGATCGGCCCGATGCTGCTCCAACACCTGAAATCCGGAAGGAGTATCCTCCTCATGTGATTACATAGCCTTTTGGCAAATTCAGGCAGTGCGGCAAGGATGGCGATTGTGAGCGAAAAGTGTCTCCAGTTTCTGGTTGTATGACTGGCAGCTTGACCACGAGCAGCTGCTCGCACCAATGCCGTAGAAATTAGATCTAGGGTTTAGGTTTAAGGTCTTTAAGAGCTCCTTTAAGGTGGCGAGAAGCGTGGGAGTTAGAGCTTACTCTTCAGTCGGCCACGGAGATGTCAAAGCCATCAACAAGATCCGACAGTCCCAGCTCACAAGCAAGAGAAGATTGCTAACTGCCACAACCTCCTGCAAAGGTCAGAGGCAGCCAACCTGCTACACCTGTCAGTGCGACTGTCAAATAAATTATGCCTATGATTCCGAAGATGGCCAGTGACTAGCGCTAACCTCGCTACCGCTACTGCGAGGAGGCATGTCATGTGTACCGTACACTTGGCATAGGACCAGTTCGATTTCAAGCAAACCTAGTCTGCCATGTTGACAAGCACAAATTTTCCATGAAAGTGTCAGTCACGACGATCGTCATGCCGAGTCTTGTCTCATGACATCTCGCAAGCTCAAACATCGATCAAAATGACCGAACTACAGTGATGTTTGCAACTAGCATGCACTCACGGCTAAATGAACTCAATCAGACAAGCGTGCACGTGCACGCACACCGAACAAAAAAGACAGCGGCATACCACGCCGTGCCTGCCTTTTATCTTGCTTTGCTTATTCTGCATTTTTCCTGCTTCGACTGACTCCTGCCGAAGGACAGATTCAGCGAAGATTCTGTCCCACTACCAGTAAAGCACTTACTAAACTCGAAACCCGGAGGCCAACCTTGAATCCTGAACTTCTTAAACCATCGAAGGCCCTCTTCCGGCCTTCTCCAACAAAGTCTCGACGTAGCTTTCGGCGCCACGAGGTGGCGGTGCGAAGGCATGGCCGTTGCTCTGGACAAGGGCCGGAGAGAAGGGGGGAGGAACGCTGGCAAGGAGGTTCCTTGCTACTTTGCCAGAGAAATGACTCGGAAGAAAGTGACGCATAGATAGCCTGTTGTTTACTACATGTGCTTTTGATTCTAACTGTGATTGTGGGGATCGGGGTTTGACACCAGCCTAGGATGAAGTCTTCTGAGTTCAGGGTGAAGGGATTTAGGTTTTAGCGACTAGGCAGCTCACTTCGCTAGCTGGCTCATGTTTACCACGCCGCATGCGCACCGTGGCCTTTAAGGTGCCCTGTGCCACATCACACATGTGGCTTGTGTTCAAGTTAAGAACCGCTTTGGGAGCTTCCTTCATGGCGACATACTCCGGCCCAAGTCTGGTCGAGGAAAGGTTCAAGGATCTTTACCTGCAGTGGCCTGTCCAACCGCAGCCTGATTGTGATTTACGAGCCCAAAACCCTAGAAGCCCGTCGCCATAAAGCCCCAGAAGCCTCAAAAACCAAACAACAACAATAGCCCTGACAACAAAACCGTCGAAACCCTAAACCCCCGAACCCCCAAACAAATCACCTTATATCCTAAACCCCCAACCCAAGGAATCCCAAACCAAACCTAGAACCCCTAAAATCCCCCAAAGCCGGAATCACTAAACCCTCCTCAACCCTAAACCTTTAACCCAACCCTCCTCAACCCTAAACCTTTAACCCAACCCTCTTCAACCCTAGACCTCTAACCCAACCCTCCTCAACCCTAGACCCTTAACGTATCCTAACCTCCAAACTCTAAATCCTAAACCCTAGACCTTTAACCCTAAACCCTAAACGCTTCGGTGTTGTGGCAGCCGCCTGCTGGAGCTCTGGGTCTGCCACAAAGGTCTTCAAGCCAGCCTCAGTGAGGCTTAGCGGTTTTGTTGCGGTTTTCGGGTTTGGGGTTTCGGGCTTAGGGTTTAGGGTTTGGGGGTTAGAATACAAGGTCTAGGATTTCGCGTTTGGGGTTCCGCAGGATCTACGAGGCTGAATGATGAGACGATGGTTTTGTGGGGGCGTTGTGTTGCAACAAGTTGCATTTATGTGCCCGTATATCAGTTATGATACATGATATCTATGACAGAGAAACTGACGAACTCCTTAGGGCTCCGTACTTTGGAGGCAGTTCGCTTCTTGAAACAGCTTCAGTACCTCATCAGCCTCAGACAGGAGTCCTTTTCAGGGCTACAATGATCATTGTTCTGCAGGGTTGGCAGGTCCTACGGCTATGTCAGCAAGCGGTTGAATCTGAAGACCGGGCTGGGGAGTCTAGCGACATGGGCGATCATGATGAGTGCAGCTATAATCCTGAACCCGAAGCCTCGAATTGTTGCTTCCTGCATGTGCCCTGGACCTTAAGTCGGAGCATGAAACCCCGAACTTATCTGAAACTACTGGAATCGCCCACAAGCAGTCGTGCCTTCGTCGCGGCCTTGACGAGCGCACTGTCGTTGCCTTGGCCAAGGCAGAGCATTGAGCCCTTGTGGGTCAAGGCTCTACTCGAAGCCAGGTGGGTCTGGGCCTACGCGTGTCTGTCGTCACTGCAGCCCGACAAACACTTTGTACATACCTCGTATGCTGGCATGCAGAAAAAAGTGAACTAGTCACTGCAGCTACATGCTATATGGATACTGGTGACAGGTCCGCACGGACAAGCTTCTTGTCTTGCAGCATGCACAGGATTCTTGAATTAGAGACAGTGAGTTTGACAATCCAACTTGCCCTGAAGCACATTGGGTTTGCCAACAACCGTGAATCTCACAACCACTCGTCTGCTTCAGGCGCTGCCCTGCTGGGCGCAGCGCACAACGAGACCACCGCAGACACCTCCGAAATGCAGAACTGCAGTCACTTCATGTTGTCACGGATAAGGTCCAAGGACTTTGACAGTAAGGTTTTCGAGGTGATCAAGGCTGCGTGCAACCTGAAATCTAGATGCACAAAGCCCGGACCCTACATTTCAAACCTAAAACCTCCGCCCTGAATCACCTTAAATCCTTGACCCGTAACCCTAAACCCTAAACCGGTGCCGTCTTGGCATTCGTCGATCCCTGCGCCTGTGCCTAGGCCTAGGCCAGCTTGTCTCGCCAGCGAAGTATCTTTATCAACAAGAGAGACTCAGTGCCAGGAGTAGGCAACACAGCTGGAAGAAACTCGAACCACCACTCATCCAAGCTACCGCAGCCGTAAGCAAGGACTGCAAGCAGGCATGGACAGAAAGAGATTGTATTGTAATACATGTGAACGAAGCCACGGAAGATCAATGCGACGGGTGGAGAGGACTATGAAGCACACAAGTAGAGTCACAAGCCACATCAACATGTTGATGTTGCAACCAGTCTGACTGCAGTGTGTACATTGCCAGTTTCTTGGCCGCAGATAGTCACCACAGTAGCACAAGCCAATCATTCTGCTGCAGATTGCAACTGAATCAGCAGGTACGGACATGCACCACACCAAGACCAGAACTGAAGAACACACCTGGGCCCGCCTCGCCCTGCAACCCGCATTTCTCCTCGACCCCCAAAACCCCGAATAGAGCAACCCCACAAACATCGAAAGTCTACCCGACCACCGCTGTGACACCTCGGCTGGGTAGGTCCAGATCTCCATTGCCTCCAACAGCGCTTTCAAGGGTGTTGCCTTGGCCGGTGGTTTCGGGCTTGAGAGGTGGAGGAGGTGGAGTTTGGCAGCTGGGCCGCACTAAAGCAGTGCCCGGTAAGCGGCGTAGGTTCGGAAGACAGGAAGTAGGCTTGAATTGGGTTGAGGATGTAGCATGACGATGACGGCTCACAGCAGTGTGCCTCAGGGCACGGGCTCATGATCATGCCCTGAACCCTAAGCTGTAACTGCCAACAAAGTCCACAAGAACAGTGCCCCGAGCCCGAAATAAACCCGAATGCCTCGATCAACCGAGGCCCTGGCCCGTGCGGAGCCGCCCATGATGAGCACTTGCGACCGGGACACCATGTGAGGGTCCTGCAGCTGAGGCGAAAGGACGACTTGCAACGAGAGCTTGGATGAAGACGGAGAACCCCGTAAGCCTCCGAGCCCTGAGCCCCAAATAACCTCGGTGCCGCAAGATCTCTTGACAGAACTCTGTGACAGAAACCTTGGGGCAATGAAATACCGAAGGCCTCAGTTACCTTCCATTAGAAAGCTTCAGGCTTGTAGATTTTCGAGTGGGGGGTCAAGTTTATAGCTTAGGGTCTTGTCCAGCTCCTTTCCCTGAAGCGCCCAGGTTTTTCCTTGAGGATTCACTCAAAACCATCCATTCAAACCATGAACATGAACCCCAAGTCCCGAGCCCAAGAACCCTCAAATCCGAAAAAGTTCGAAACCCATAAAAATCAACACTGAAACACCTACTTTGAAATACAAGCACCGAACAGTTGTTCGGATGCCTGCGAACAGCTTCAAAAAGCACAAAGTACAACAACCTAAACTCCGGAACCCCCCCCCCCCCCCCGCCTGCAGCGAGCTCAAGACCTGAGGGAAGGGCAGGGACACGCCCAGCTCTGGCCTGGCTCAGAGTTCAAACAGGGTTTAGGGCCGTTTAGGGTTTGGGGTTTAGGGTTTGGGGTTCAGGGTTCAGGGTTTAGGGTTTGGGAGTTGGGGCTTAGGGTTTGGGGTCCAGGGTGAGTTATGCAGGTGTTAGTAACGGCTTGCTTGCCAGCATTCCCATTTTAATAAGGCGGCTCATAGTTAAGCCCCAGGGTGGGCAAGGGCGTCTGATGAAGATGCTATGAGAGGCTTCAGAAGTGCTCAATTTAAACGGAGTATCACAAGGGGTTTCTATATAGGTTTGTGCAGTCCTGTAGAGATCTGATCAAACTTTTTGAAGATTGTTAAAGGTTTTGCTCGGTGTATATGGTTTTGCACGGTCTGTAAGAAGTTCATTGATTCATACGGGGATTGAGGTTCTATAACCCCTAGGTGGAACAAAATGGTGCCCAGGGTGCTTGGGCTTAGGGCGCAGGCTTTGCTGTACATATGGGAGTTTCCGAAGATTCGGGGTACCTTATTTGGGGTCCCTACAGCAAGGATCCCACTATTTAGGGTACTATATTAAGGTCCCCTATTTTCGGAAACTCCCATCTGGGGCTTGGTCTGAGGTGTGGGGTTTGGGGTGTGAAGTTTCGGAGTTTACAGTCCTGTGGCAGATCCCTTCGTAGTCTTCCCAGTTTCCCTTTCCGTTGCAAAGATGACCTGCGTTGCCGGGGGTTCTTACACTCACGGAGACCCCGAACCCACCACCCCGAACTGGAATCCGACAACCCAAGCCCTAAACCCTACAGCCAGAAGCTACAAGCAATGATCTCCCCACTCGAACTCGCCAGAGGCACAGCATCAGCCAGCAGCTCTCGGCCCCATCCTCGGCGATGTGGGAAATTCGCTGCCGCTACACGGCTGTACCCATGCAGTTTGGGGAGTACCAGGTCGTGTGCAGGCAGGCTTCAAGAAGTTGAGGGGAGCTTGTGCTTTGGGACGGTCGGCTTCAACGCTGAGTGCGTGGTGACTTGAGATGCTGGTTGGTTCATCTGCGTTTTTTCCTCTCGTCGACTCGGCTCCTTCGGGGATGAGTCCCCATCCCCATGCCAATCACAAGAAAAGCCCAAGGCCAAGGTTACATGGCCGGGGCAGGGTGGACCGCTTTGTGAAACTGCGCAAAGGAAAGGCCGGCGGGGTGGCCGTGGTCTGCTGCGACCATCAGCAGTCGCTGAGCCTCCGCCTGGTCCGTGGTTACCCCCTCCCCGGTGAGCAAGCACTTGGCCAAGTTCACCTCGCCAGGGAAAGGAAAGAGGATACATGCCTCTTGGGAGTTGGGGGCCGGCGTGGCCACTAGCAGCCCTGACACCCCTAAAGCCCCAAACTGTGTCCCAGTCGCATGAGCATCCATGTCGCCCTTGTCTGCGGCAAGCCGGTAGCATTCCACCGCTGCCTGTGGGTCGCGTGGGACTCCGGTGCCGTTCATGTAGCAGCATCCGAGATTGTAAAGGGCCTGCCGGGCAACGCTGGCTGGGTGAGTCGCGGTTGTAGGCGCACAAATTGCACAAAAACAGGAAGATATGTAGACAGATAGAATAAATGGATAAATAGATCGATCGATAGTTCGATAGATCAACATACTAAAACATGTTCGTAGATCGATAAATAGATCGAGATGTCGATCGATAGATCGCTGGGTCCATCAATAGATAGATGCTGCGATAGATAGTGAGATAGATAGACAGATAGTTGGACAGACTGTTAGCCAGATAGACCTTTTGGTGAGGTGATTTGTAGGCGACAAGACACAACTGGCGCCTGTGGATGTCCCAGGTCCCCACTCTGGCGGTACAGCTCCGTCGCTGTTGAAAGGTCCACCTCTACACCATCCCCGTGCCGATAGGCGAGTGCCAAGCAGTACATGGCATCCTTGCTTTGCGGATTGTGTTGTTCTAGCTGCTAGCTCCTCTGTTTTGCGGCTGAGCTGGGGCATAGCAAGACTGGGCAGAAGCTTTTTGCATTATGGCCCAAGTATGCAGGGCCTGGTACAACGGTACAATCAAAGCCCGCATGTCCTCTGCACAACTTACCTCCGCTTCACCGGCGCCCTGTCTCGAACAACTACCTTCAACTCTTCACCAGAAAAACGTTGCACAAACAGGAGAAGTGTCCGGGTTGCCAGCGTCTGCCGCAAGCCGAAGCCAGCGGCAAGCTTCAGCCTTGTCCTCCGGCACTCCGGCGCCGTCTGCAAAGCTCCTGTCGCAGGGCAGGACACAAACGAAGGCTCGCCAAGCTTGACGACAATCGGGCGACGAAAACGACACTCAACGTAACCGCACTGTGTTGCATTTGGCTATAAGGGGCTACACTACTATCTCGTATAGAAAACGAGCATAGGTTCAAATATCATGCACATGCAATTTCTTGTGTCTGTCCATGTGTACACATGCATGCAAGCTCAACCAGTCATTCATTCATGTATGTTCAGAGCCAGAGACACACAACCTGCCTGCCTGGTTGCGTACCTACCTACCTGGGGAAGGATTTCTTTCGGAGTCCTCCCCAGCTGCGCCATGCCTGCAGGATGGCCCTGTCTTGAGGCTTCGACATAGAGCCGGTGGGCCTCCTGCAGCTGAATCTCCGTGCCCAGGATGCCATATTGGTACCAACAGCCGAGCTTGAAGAGAGCGTGGGCATAGCCTTGAGATGCCGATTCTTGCAACAGCTCCTTGGCGCGCCCGTGATCTTGCTTCAAGCACACCCCCTTCTCGCAACAGTAGCTCAGGGAGCACTTGGCAGCTGCATTGCCCTGCTCTGCCGCCTGGCTCAACAGCTCGACTGCACGCTGGGCATCTGCCTGGACCCCGAGACCATCCAAGTAGGCGCAGCCCAGCAGCGCTAGGCCCAGGTGGCTTCTCCGGGCTGTGGCCGTGGCATGTCGGAAGACGCCTGCAGCGGCGGCCTCATCTGAGACGAGGCCTTTGGAGATCTTCCGACGATACAGCACAGATGCCAGAAGAACCTCCGCTTCTGTGCAGCTCTCGGCCTGGCTCGACAACTCCCGAAAAGCATCTGCTGGGGCTCGCGAGCAGAGCCCAGGTAAGATTCTTAAGACGTCCTCCATGCCGGAAGAGTCGGAAGAAAGATGGCTGAAGTGTGGCTGCAACTCCAAGAGGCAGGCCTCAGCATGATAAGCTCCATGGAGCAGGGTCAATAGCTCGTCCATGCCTGGCCTGGCCATCCACCCCTCCTCCCATGCAAGAACGAGATTGCCGCGCTCGTGGCACCGAAGGCTAGTACTCCTGCGATTCGGGCCACTGCTGCATCGAGTTGCACAGGACTGACTCAAGGCCGACACATGTTCCTGCGGAGAGATATGCAGCACCACAAACTGATCGGCAGTCCAAGACCATGTCTCATAGGGAATCTTACACCCATCACTCATCCTCCACTAGTCCGCAGCAGTATAGTCTAGTCTTAGGCATCTCCCAGAATCCTACAGCTTACAGGGTTATACGTAGCACTCAGGGATTGAGGCTTCTGGGTTGACGGCTTTCGCTTCAAAGCCGTAAAGGATTGATTCGCAACCCGAACTTCTGCCCCTCCGGCGATTGGACCCCGGCGATGTGCATCTGTCCCTGACCATCCTTTCTGGGCAGGAGCTCCCCGATGATGTGTGCCTGGCGGCGGGGGTCCGCTCTGGAAGTATGGGCTCCTTGAGCTACAGTTAACCCCAAGCGGATTAGGGACAAACAGTGCCGGGATTCCCTTTACAGTACTCTTGTGGTTTCCAACTTGTGAGCTTCTACTTCAACAAAAGGGATGTTATACTCCCGCCGTATACTAGAATGGGACCCTGACAGGAAGAAATCAAGAACAAACAGCCATGTGCCTCTATTCAAGGGCACGGGGCCGGCCTCCTCGTCCATATCTTTCAGGCGGGTCATGACCTGTCCCGGCGGATTCGAAAGGGCTACTGGGGAGAAGACTCGAACTCACGGAGAAGTACAAGATTCCAGACCAGAGCCATGTCACTCCTGCCGATCCCGACCTCGTCTTTGTGCTCTTGCGCAGTGATCAGGACCATGCCGATGCCACAGTTGAAGGTCGCGGAGAGTTCGTCGCAGGGGATGTTGCATCTGTGCCAGCTCCAACCCGCAGACTATAGTCCGTACTCGGCTTTTCCTGATGCTGAATGAAGACTGTGCATCGCCGTTGCCATCATCACTTTACCGAAGCGTCTTCTCGTTGCACTCGCAAAAGCATTGCTAGCTGCTGCTCGTGCGCCTCGCGGCGATCCAGCGGAAGAGGGGAGGAAGCTCCCAGTTCTCCGCCTTGACATGCGCCTGGAAGCAAGCGGCGATCGGTTTGGCTTGCGACGATATCAGACTTCAGGGCTTTTGGGGCTTCGGGGTGTGTCAGGAGGGAGACATACAAGCGATGACAATGAACATGGAACAACCAACCTCATGGAACGGCGGCGATGAACAGCAATCATAAGATCAGACGCGATTTTCGAGACAGGAGCGATTCGAACCAGGAGGGTAGGAAAACTGCCCGGGGGTCTAGTCAGGCAGGACCAATAGCAACCGTGGCAGTAGGAGTCATGATGCTATGACAGATTCAGATGAAGATTAGCATGAGGACGAACGGATGTTGAAAGTTCAAAGAGCAGATTCATGCGACTGGGCCGGGCAATATCGTGGCATGGCCACACTGGTGGGCATTGAAGCACAATGGGGCTTGGGAAACCGACTGTGTTGAACCTTTCACTGGCTGGACCCATGTAAACCTGCAAATGTAGTGGTGCTTTCCCACGAAACCCATGGTTGCCAAGGACAGCAGCACTGGACGCACATCTCAGAGCCTGCCTTCAGGTGCTTGGGCAAAATCCTCGGAACGCTTCGGGACAAACCTGGCCACCGAGTGTTGATTCGGAACGCTACGTCTCTTGCATCTCTGCAAACGGGAAAATACTGCAGTTTTTCAAATCATCATGGTAGCATCGGTTGGTCGTCCTCCTCGTAGTACTCGTAGCAGTAGTCGTCGTAGAAATAATAGGCATAACAGTCGTAATCGTGGTAGTAGTCGCAAGAGACGCAACAGTCGTATCAGTGGTGGGCGTAGTCGAAATCATCTTCAACATCTCTATCTTCATCATCATTGCCATCATCGGCGGAATCCGGATCAGCAACACACAGGAAACCATCGGACAAAACGAGCTGAACCGCAACCACGGTAGGATGCTTCGCCACCTCCTCTGGTGATCGGAGCAGCGCCACGAAGGAGACCTTCCTTTGCCTTCGTGATGCTTGGGGGTTCTACACGGCTCTCGTTGTCGTCCAAGAGCGAAATGTAGGATGTGAAATGACCGGGGTCATACAAAGTTATTTGCAGGCCTAGCAGGAAGAACGAGGCCAAGAGCATGCAAGTCCGCAAGCGCATTAAAGGAATCACGCCATGGAACTAGGCATGGATGTCTTGCAGTGAGGACACAGTCTCTAGGAGCAGACTGCGCTCCTCATCCCCAAGGACTACGTTATTGTAGACGCATTCGAGGATGTTCCAGACTCTGATTGCCATCTCCCGAAAAAACCGCTCCGGTGCGTTTGAGAAATTCTGCAGTGCTTCGCAATAAAGCCGTGCAGGGGTTGGGGGTTCGGGGTCGGTTAACGTTCTGAGTGCGGCGCCAAAGCAAGGATCGTCTTAACGTAGATCCGCGTTGGCGCCAAAAGGACCTGGCGGATTCGTCTGATCTTGCAGGCACTGTTGACATCATGGACACGACCAGTAAGACGATGCTGAGAATCGTTTTTGAATAGGTGGGTGATCAGGATGCTGGTCATGGTGATGACGGTTCTGGCGATGCCGATGCTGGTGGCGTTACTGAAGGTCGCGATATGGATGATGGGGTATCTCTTCCTAGACGGAACACAGCTCTACGTGAGCATGACGTGCCAAGGCTCTCAAGTCCACGTGAGCAGGGGCGAAAAATTCTGAGCGAAGGAAGCCAAGGCAGGGCAAGGACTTCGGGAAAAACAAGGACAACAACATGACATGTAGAATGCATCGCAGATTCGCGAGCAGAGGAAGGCGAGTCAATGCTAGAGGGTGTCTGAAACGTCCGGCATCTCGTGCTTTGCGTATCACTGCAGTCCCCATATGGCTATGCCAGAACAACCCCAGAACCCAATTCATCAACATCACCAAGGCCCCTGAAGCAGTTGATCAAGCGGCGCCGGCTCCAACCTTAACTCCAAGATCTAAGGTCCTATTTTGTGGCCAACGTCCACATGCTGCATGCTAAGCCTTAAATCCTGAACTCTGAAACCGGATAGCCGAAACCCAAGACACTGGAGTTCAACCCAGGTCCCCACAACCCGACATCCGAAATCCTAACAACCCGAACTCCTAAATACTGAACCTCAAAGCCCACAAGCTAAAGACTCCGGAGGTCTGAGGTCGCGATGATGTCTGAGTAATCGTAAGCGCACCTCTCCGAAGGACCGTGTGGGGTCGAAAGGTGCCGCCGCCTGATACCTCATCTCAAACATCGGCAGAGTTTCGCTTTGTAGGATTTTTGGCGCTTCGGGTTGGAGTGCAAGCTTCGGCGTGCAGGGTTTTGGGCTTTGGGCTGTGCATCAACTCCCATCTTCATGGTCAAAGTGTGGATGATGGTGATGATTGTAAGACGGTAATCCGCCGTTGGCACCACTAGCGGCACTACTGCCTGTACACTGTTACAACTGCTGGTATTGCGGCTTCCCGAGTTCTGAGCCCTGGCTTTACCAACTTGTGCCAACATGGAAAAGCCTCATCAACTGAGTCCACTGCCGAATCCCCGCTGCCTGGACTACCTGATGCAGCATTTGCAAGGATAGGACTTCTGGCTTGTGGTTTGGGGCGTGCTTGGGTTTGGGTTTCGAGCCTTCGGGCTGAGCTCAGAGTTGTTTTGGCTTAATTTTCCAGGAACAAAGTGACTCTCGGCTGTCGCCGTGGATTTCGGGATGCTTTAGTGGGAGATGCGGCTTCGACCTGACGCCCGGCTGTCGAAACATGCTCTGACAACGATATATAACATACAGTCGGCAATGGAGCGTTGCCAGTTGTTCGCGCAGGGAAGAAAAGTGTGGCTTGAACTGAAAAAGGGGCATCTTGAACAACCTCTCCGGCAACGACAGTCATCGTGACAAGCGATCACTACAAAAAAAAGATGCGGCAACATTCTGAATAATACTTTCCATAATGACATTGTGGCTTTCTGCTCTTCCACACACAAGATAGATTTCATCTATACCCCGAAACAATGGGCTCCGCACAGAGCGAAGCAGACTGAAGCCGTTGCTGTGCAAGCCAGACGAGGAAAGGCCTCATCCGTCTCAGGGTTTCGTTTCGGGGCTTCGGATCTTAGGCGCACACTGATATCTGGCGCTGTGGGACATGAGTGGTTGAAGAGTTCGGATACTCCAGCACGTGTGGCAGTGAAGTCGGCAATACATCTGTACTCGAGAAGCTTCAAAAACAGGTGACACGACTCCTTTTATAGTCACTGTATATCCTAACGGTCATATGTCAAAGGGGCGTTCCATATCTAACAATTCCCAAGCATAGCGAATCTCTATGATGTCAAGAATCGTTGCTGGTCTCGGAGCGCTGTACGCAGCAAATCCTGTCCGTGGTGACGGGATTCTTACCCGCCTGTGTGATGCACTCGACCTGCTGCAGATGCGTTGCGGTGAATGGCTGGGGGCTACCTGAGCAAAGGCTGCGTTTGACGTGCTGGCGCTGCTGAAAGGTCGGCAGGCGTCGGAGGACATTGATGGAAAGGCGGCCGTGTTCATCTTTGCCCCGGGGCTGCACCGGCTGCGAGGAGTATTTTGATCCATGTCATGCTGCCTGTGTTTGCGGCAAGGTGGAACAAGCGGCAACAAGCAGTTGGTATCCGTGCGCGGCTGCACCTGTGCGTTCGCCCGCAGAAAGCATGTTGCTGCTCGGGGCGCCCTGTGCTGGAAGACTCGCTCTATGGGACCGCGTTGCCAACGATCTTGTTGATTGATGTTGGCACGGTGGCGCAGGAGGAGGCGTGCCAGCGGTGCCGGCGGTGGCGAATCCATTGACTCACAGCAATAATAAGCAGAGGGGTGTCCATGAAGGACGTTGGTCGGTCCACGTCTGTGCCGGCTTGAACGAGGAAGTTGGCCATCCGCATGCTCTGACTTTCGCAGGTTGCCGTCAGAGGACTTATGGCGAAGTGTTTGCCGTCTACATTGGCGTGGGCCGCGATGAATGCCTGTGCGATGCAGGGGTTGTCAAAATTGGTGTGCGCGCCGATGCACAGGGGGCTGCATGGTGCGTAGTTACTGTCGTGGCTGATAGCAATGTTAGGGTCCACAAGGTCTTCCAGCAGGCTGCAGACTTCTTCGTGGCTCTCCATCTGAATGGCAAGGGACAGTTCGGGTGCTCCTCCGTCTCGGAAACGCCGGACGACTGCCAGTAGCTCGCAGCTTTCTCTCGCAGCGGGTGTTCGCAGTCAGCCCAGGTCATTCTGGGGCTTAGTCGTCTCTGTCCTTCAGCGAAGTGAATGTTGATTCGGTTGGCGGGCATGTGTAGATGGATGCTACGGTGAGTGCCAGGTCGTCAAGGACGAGCCCCTCCGTGCTTGCGGGCCGAAGGATCGATGGTGCAGATCACTCGACCACTGCAAGCGCGAACGTGCAGCATGGCCTGCTCTCGGCAAGGTCTGTTGAGCCCGGTGCCACAGTCATCACATTGCAACAGGACCGAGCCTGCCTTTGCCTCTTGTGTTGCGGGAAAGACGGCTTGTGGAATGCGTTCCTGTGTACTGCGTACGGCGTACACGTTGGACGCAGCAAGTACAACAGCGAGGCTTCCAGGGTCTTGGCCGTGTGAGGTCTGTTGTTGGCATCCGTGTGGAGTACGGTTTCTGCAAGTCTCCGCTGCCGTCTTCTTTACTACCGTCAGCTTGATTTGATGTCGCTCGTTGAGGATAGGTGCCTGGCAGTCTTGACAGGTCGAGTCTGAGCCAGCCGGTCGAGCAGGCGGGCCTTTCGGCCGCATTCAACCAAT